ACAAACTAGAACTTGTGCGTGGTTTTTTATGCTTTTTTAATTGAAATAATATATATATATATTAAATATAATACATTTAAATATAATATTCCATAAAAAAAATTGCGCCTCAAATTACACATCGTTATAGAGCTTGCATTAAATAAAAAAATTCTTCAACGTTTAAAATGCTCATTTTAATCAAATAATTTATCAACAATTTCAGATACGGAAGACCATACAGATACGGTGGCTGGGGAGGTGGATATGGCAGAGGTTGGGGAGGATACGGAGGATGGGGCGGCTGGAGAGGAGGATGGGGCGGCTGGGGTGGACGAGGCTGGGGTGGACGAGGATATGGTGGTTGGGGTGGCTGGGGATACTGGGGTTGAGACATGAACTCCACATTCCATCCGCGTGATACTTAATCGCTATCAATACAGCTTTTGGCTCTATGAATTTTCACTAAGATACGCGAAGCTCTTGGACAGCTTCATTAACTTTGTAAGTTTTTATTGAAACCTTCATTGTATAAGAATAAAAGTATGTTAAAAAAAAGTGAAGCATGTTTTGTTTTTTCCATCATCTTTATCAATCATGATCCCACACGAAGAATTATTTCAAGAAATTGATGTTAATATATTATGATATATGCCATGATTTTATATTGTGCAAAAAGATTAAATTATATAATTGCAAAAATTAAATTTCTTAAAAAAATTATTACAAAGATGAATGTAACATATTTAACATTAAAATTAATTATCAGATATAAAAAAATTAATGTTCTTTATAAAAATTTGAGAAATTCTATTCCAAAAAATTAATCTATAAAATTACAAAAATGAAATTTTTTTGTATAAAAGACTATTGCAAAGATGAGCGTATTTTATGTAAAAATTGATTGATCAGACACAAAAGAAAATTGAAGAACTTCTGTTTCAAAGTTAATACATAATATTTATGTCATAATTTTACATTGCAAAAATTAAACTACACAAATCGCAAGATTGAAAATTAAAAAGAAAAATTGTTAGAAAAATGAATATAGCATATCTTACATAAAAGTCGATTATCAGACATAAAGAAAATCAAATGCTCTTTAAAAATTTAAGTTTAAGAAATTTAAAGACTTGCATTTAACGAATATAATAAAGACAGGATTGATTCGTGAGTAAGAATAACTGGGGGTGTAGGTTGAATAAGGAAACACGGGATGTAAAAAACTGTAATTATTATTAATCGTAATAATATGATTATTGACAATGACGCGACTATGTGCACATTAAAACACCTTATCTGTATCTTACAAGATCAGCTTTCTTACACTATATACAATAACTAAATATCATATTACTTTATATTATATAATAAAATTATCTATTTATATTTTTGTATGTATATATATATATGTTCATATTTATATATTTATATATTTATATATATATATATACTCGCGTATTTATATATATAATATTAAATTCATTGTTATTTAATATTAGAGTAATTGTTATTTCAATATATATATATATATATATATGTAAGAAACGATTAAAAATTAACCAAATATTTATTTTTTATAATTCTGTACAATATAGGCTCTTAAAACTCTGCTTATCACTGAAAAAATGTACAATGCGATATATATGGTATGAAGGTATATGTCTGGAAAAATCCTCTCGTTCGCGAAACGTTTAAACCGATACGGTGCGCGTGTCGGCTCGTTGATCGATAATTCGTTCGCGGTTGATCGATGATCGTGCGCGACACGCGCCGGAGGAACCGCAGAGAAGGATTCGTTTCCGCGATCGACGAGAATTTCAGGGCGGCGGCGAGCGCGCAAAGATCGCCGACGCACTAAACAATACTTCATTTGATTTGATTTCTTTTGCGCTGTATAACAAGGAAATAAAGAGTTATGACAATAAAGAATTGGGGACGAAACGGTATCGCCAAACACACACATTCTCATTCTCTCTCTCTCTTCTTTCTCTGTCACAACTTAATCACTCATTCATTTTTTCACTCTCTTTTACCTTTTCATGGGATTGCAAGATCGCGGCAAAAAACTATTTTACTCTTTTGGCTCAATACAAGTTATGCAATGTACATGGAAGATACGTCCAATTAGAAGAATGATTTATTTTCTAATAAATCCAAAGTATTTCCCAGTAAACACAAACCCAAAAGTAATATAACATCAATATTATAATTTCTCACTCAACAATGTAACTGTTGCATACAGTATACATATTATGTGTTATATTATATTTATATTATTAAGTATAAAATTGTATAACATTGATGTTGTATATTATTTTTAGTATTTACTAAGTTGCCGGCTCTTTAATATCGACTGATTTTCTTTTTATACATTCGCGTAGTTTTTACTCGAAAAGTACTCTAAAAACATGGATGCGGATTCAACACTAATGTTAATTCTCACCGTGTTGGTATAAACATCATGATACCACCAACATATGAATTTAATGAAAATAAATAATCATGTGTTTTGAGCCACGCACTGACAAAAATTTCTAGTTGAAATTTTTTTCTTTAAAATAAACAAACTAGAAGATTATCTAATTATACCTATATCAATCAGAATTCTGGTTATCTGAACTAGAATTATCGTATAATAGATTTAATAAAAAAATTCTAATTTGTCCATTTTCAACCAAAATTCTAATTAATGCAATCTGCATTTTTTTTTTCCAGTACAGTGTTAAATCAACATCTTTGACGTTAATATCACAATATATATTTTTTAGAATGTGATAAAAAATATTGAGAGAATTGCTGACAATTGAGATAAAGATTATGATAGATGTCTAGAAATCAGAAGACGCGGTAATGTCTCCAGTCATGTTTAAAAACTGAAAGACACTACTCTTATCCCGAGCCACCAAAGTTCATTTTTCGGGGGGATGCACAATTACTAAAATATAAAAAATTTTAAATCGAACTTTATATGCCTTGAAAGGCGGCATCGTAAATTTATTTTTTCAAAGTGACAACTTTTCTGGAGTGTTTTCCTTTATTTTCATTTTCGGACAGCCTCCGAAAATTCATCGATCAATAATAAGCCGCGCTACAATGTTTTTTCTTTAAAAATAATTAACAGTTTTGTTGGAAGAAATATTGAAAGTTTTTTGACGCGCGATCATGCATTTATCCTTTTTATATTTTTTGGATTTTTTTTTAGTACGCGCTTGCATCCAAGAAAGAGAGCAAAACTAAAAAACATTTGGAAGATAAGATCCGTACGGTAACACAGCCGTTATATAAGCTTCATACCAATTACAGATTCCTGTGTCTTATCTGATATACGAGTATATACAATTTCTTCTTATCCTGCGCGTCGCGTTACAATTGTGGAGTGAAAAGTTGAGTAGAGAATCGTTTTCTAAATGAAATAACATTGAGCTCACACCGGAAATTTTATTATCCGTAGAGATTTCCGTTCTACTTTTACACTTAAATTTTTATCCAAATACATCCCTCATTTTTGTTTCATCTTTACCGAAATGTAAAAACAATTTTTCTCGTTTATTAATTAAAAATTCGCCACCTATCGCGGCTTCCGCGGTTTACGATTTCTTTTTCACTTCACAATCGATAATGTGCGGTGACTGGGACGAAGAATCTTCCTACGAATATCGTAACAATTGCACGTTTAGCAAAGGATCAGCAATCGGTAAGATTTCTCATCGGCGCATACAAATGGTGAAAATGTAAACAATTTCCATTTCGCTTTATTGCGCATTCTACTAACATACCCCCGATTGCACGCAATCGACTTTTAGTCGCTGCTAATGTTCCTCGTCACGTTTCACACCCTAATTGCTTATCATTCCAATTCCTGTTTTTTTTTTTTTATATATTCTTCATACCAGTAACTTGAGATACGATAACAAAGACACAAAAAATAAATAAACATAATAACAAAGAAGATGGCTAAAAGAAATAATTTTGTTTTAGAGACATCTCTCTCTACGACGTCTTTTGCATGTACACTTTTTTCATTAGAATATATTAAAATGTAAGACTCGATATGTTACTACTCTTCAGATTTTACAGTCCAGTAATAAATTATTTGAAAAAATAAACGCGCATAAAAACGATGATTTTTCATATCTCAAAAAATGTTTTGTATCCTTAAACATATTTTACATCTATTGTTTAGACACATATTTGTAGTTTAACATAGTATTTTTCTTTTAGAACAGAGTTATTCAATATTGCTGGTATTAAAATGCAGCGACAGGTAGAAAAAGGATTCACCATAGGCAATCCTTGCAGGAATCTTCTTTCCCGAAGATGATGGTGATGATGACGAGATGCGTCGCTCTTCGGCTTCGTACGAAACAAATCTAACGGAATATCTTCATCTTATGTATATCTCGTGATTTATCGAATCACATACGCACGTGACTCGTTTGTTCGAAAAAAAAATTTTTTTTTTCTCTTTTCACATCTTTTGCAATTCGGTAGTAATCCTTTCATTTTTAAATATCGGTACAAAACATGGCACGCCGCTTCATCAACCATGAGTATTTTATACGCATAACTCTTGTTATCTACGTGGCGAGATTATGACGATATACTTCTTAATACAAACAGAGAAGAAACGTATAATAACAGTAATAATAGCGTGTGATACATAATAATTAGGATGATACTAAGAGAAAGAAAAGCAGAAGAAGATTGATTGATTGAGCGAGTGAGTGAGTGAGAGAAAAGTGAAAAGAGAAAAAAAGGAAGAGCAAGAGACAGATGGAGAAAGGAAGAAAAAGACAGACGGAAAAAAGAGATAGAAGAGAAAGAAAAAGATAGGAAAGCGATAGATGATAGAAGTAAGAGAGATGCGGGAGGGAGGGAGAGAAAGAAAGTTAAAAACCGTTTAAAAACTGTTCTTGGAGAGCTTTCGAAGGAAAATAGGTGAATAAATAGCTTACAATGATCGTCATAAATAAATACACGCAGCAGGGTTACAACGTGAAAAGGGATAAAATAGATAATCGTGACGATTAATAATGACGCGTTGGATCTTATAAAAAAAACTATATAACAAATCGCGCGAGGCGCGTACGTAATATTTATGTATATATATATAATATATATTTAACGTGTAAAAAAATATAATAAAAAAATATTTTCAAATTTCGCGTCTAACTTCGCGATCTTGTATGTGCGGATTGCACAGCGTGAAGCGAAAACAAACATGGCAGAAAGAAAAACTAAAAGAGAAGAATGGGCAATTAAAACAAAACGATACCGTCATAGCATATTGCAGAGTTTAATTGTCAAATGCGAGAGAGAGTGCATGCAAGTTCCAATTGTCAAATCGCGAAAAAGCACGTCCTTTTTTTTTTCTATTTTCCTTCTTTTTCTTTCAAGCACATGAACGGATATGCTTGTGTAAAAAAAAAAATGAGGTTTGTTCTGAAAATAAAAGAATAACGAATGCATATCCCTTTTCTCATTTAGTGCTTCACGTCCGGCTGGTATCACGTTCTCCTCTTGCCACATTAAAGTCGACATCGATCGTATATCGC